TCAACATGTATTTGCAAATGTGTGTATAGTGCACCCTCTAGAGAGAGCCGCTGGTGAACCTAACTAAATAAATAAATAAATAAATACGGTATCCAACTACATACACAAATAAACAACTAACACCCTGTAGCATACAAGTCTAACTTTCACCCTTGAAAGTGTAATAATCTTACTATTACCCGAATATGCTCAAACCCTACTGAAATACAAAAAATCAAAAATTGTGAAAAACCAGTGAAAACATATAGTCTCCAAAAACAAAAACTTAGCCATATTTCCCCAGTTAGAGCACACACAGCTCAGCACTTAACATTTTCTTCACTATTCCACTGGCTCAAATGAACAGACTAGGGGTGTCTTTTTAGGGTTTTATCAGAATTTAGAACTTGGATGGGGTGAGGGAGCATGGGATACCCCAGAATTGAAGAACTGAACACTTGGAGGACTCTGTGACTATCTTTCTTCACTGTACAAAAATGCCCCACAGAATCTCTAATGCTGATGGTGACTATGAAATCTCCCAGAGGCCAAAAAGTACACACAGTCATTGACTCTCCAGCACATAGACAGTCTACTCATGTAGCCACAGGATCACCGGTTGCCTCCTTCCGATATCCACCAGGCTCTTCACGGTGAGGGGGATGCAGGCTCACACAGCTGGACATTCTTTCCACCAACTTCCTTCTGGTTCTCTCTCCAGTAAACTTCTCCTGGACAAAATTAATTCCAGGACTAAGCTTGCAAATAGGCCTCCAGCTAAGGCTAGCTAGGACTTTGGTGGCTTCACAAAGGTTTCTCTAGCATTCCTGCCCTAGAGGCAGAGCTGTTGCATAGAGGTTTCGCCAGCAGGACTGGATCCAGGAACTCTTTTGCTGCTGCTTCAGGCCTCAGACAATTTATGGACTCTCTTACCACCTGCTGGGCATGCTTCCGCAAGAATTGGCTAGAGTCCCATAGGTATTCAGGTTGTCCACTCTGTTCTTTCTCCCGCTATAATTCTAGAATCCTCTAGAATGCAGGAGGAAGTAATCAGAGCAGCAGCATGTGAGCCACTGAGCAGGCCTAAACAATCAACCCCTGCTTCACTGATTACAGAGAAGCTAACTAAATTTACCTAATAGCCTAAACTACTCTTGGAGGGTGGTATTTATGTGACAAAAACCTCTGGTTTTAGCTTTTAGTAGTTGAAACAGTTTAGTTAGGTATTTTTGCTGATTAGCTTAAATGTGAGCTCATTAGTATGCTGCTCCACCTTTCCCTGTACAGTCACAGTCTGGGGGTGCTCTTGCAGTGAGTTAGAATGCATTCTTGGGGGATTTCACATGCTCAGATCCTTGGGGAGACACGGTCAGTGCCGGATTATCAGATAGGCAGAGTAGGCACCAGCCTATTGGCCCAACCACAATGGATGAAAATAATATTAATTTGAACTTGAAAGAAAATTACAATGAAGCTTTATTAAATTGTTTACAAAAGATAGAAAAAACTGAATCAACCCACAGAAACAAAAAAGCTACATTAAAGATTCTATAGAGAAAATATTGCGTAAATGTTATGTACCCAGTAACAGCCTTAAGTACAGAAACCATAGGCATAAGTTTCACATTACAGTTTGTCTCTTAAAAGTTCATCTTCTTTTTGATGTCAGCATGTAAAAATGTTTGTACAACATATGTACGTATAAGGTACAGTATTGATGGTCATCTCCATCTAGCGGCTGACATGTACACTACTTAGTTCAATGTTATTCCGGTAGAGCATGCGTATGAGAAACCTCCAGAAACCTGCGAGGGGGGACCCATAGTTTGGAATGCCTAGGGTCTCTATAGAGTTTAATCTGGCACTGGAAACTTGGCTTGACTCACAACTCGTGGAAGCATCAGAAGGCAGAGAGATGCACTCATTTTTTTTTTTTCTTGCAAACAGTATATTTTTATTAGGCCTTCCATATTTGGGGATTCAGAGGGTTGGGAGTAGAGCAGACTTTCCATTTTCCATATTTATTTTGAGATATATAATACAAATATCCCGAGCTTACCATTCTCAGCAATAAAGCAGCTTCTCTGTCCTTTCCCCGCAGTTTCTGAAAACAGACCATACCATTTTTTTCAAAGCAGGTGCATCAGACAGAACAGTTTGTGTAATTAGGATTCTAAAACACACAATGTAAATACACAGAAAAAAAAACACACAATGGAATGGAGGATATGTGTTTAAGATTTATTCTTTATTATACTGTGCTGAATGACAAAGGGAATGCTTAGTAAATGAAGATGCATTGAAAATAAGCTATGGGAGAATAGTTAATAATTGATTGTTTTGTGGAAAGGTTATGTTACTGAGACAAAAGGTAATGGCAATGGAGTCTGGTGCGGCACAGCTTATGTTTTCATCATTAAATCTACTTTGCAATTGCCTTGTTCTCATTACCCTTCACATTGGGTCTGGATGACCTTGCCCATCAAGCATTCAATGATTTGCATTCAACTCCAATACAGATTTTATTTTGTGAATGGTAAATGTCTTTCCTTATTAACTTGATTGGATAATATTCATTGTTATTTTTGATTCTTCACTAAATACCAGGTCATTATGGAGAGCATTGTAAAGGTAGATGGGTTGTCAGAATAGATAAACTGCTAAGGTGGTCTTGATAATTTTTTTTAATTTTTTTTTGGTAAGAAGTAAAGGAAGGGAAGAGAAATAAAGGATGGGAGGGAACAGCGCTGGATTACCAAAGAGTCAGAGTCGGTACTGGGCAGGGGCGGACTGAGAACTCATGGGGCTCCCGGGCAATAGGGGATCGTGGGGCCTCTGTGTCCTATCCCAAACTCAAAAAAGCCTATGAAAAAGGTACCAGAGGCATCTTATAGGGCCCCCTACTGACCCCGGGCCCTCGGGCAGTGCCTGAGTTTCCAAATGGTCAGTCCGCCCCTGGTACTGGGCTATGGACCCACGCGCTGTTTAAGGGTCCTGCGACAACGGACCAAAATAATCATTATTTGATCTTGAAAGAAAATAACAATTAAGCTTTCTCAAATTATTTACAAAAGATAGCAAAAATGAATCAACTCAAAGAAACGAAAACTTTACATTAAAGACTCTATAGAGAAAATACTGTATTCATGTAATGTACCCAGTAAAAACTTAAAGTAGATCAACTACAGTATAGACAACAGTTTCACATTACAGTTCTTCTTTCCTCTTCGGTTTGTAAAACATTTTGGTACAACCTACATATGTGTAATCTACAGTAGTGATGGTCATCTCTATCTATCGGCCAACGTGCACATTGCTTAGTTCAATGTTATCCCACTAGAGCACGTGCACGAGAAACCTCCAGAAACCTGCAAGGGGGCCCTCAAGGTTTCAACTGCCTCAGGGCTCCATAGTGTTTAATCCATTGGGATGAAAAGGGGAGGAAGAAAATAAAGGAAACAAAAAGGAAAGGGAAATAAAAAGGAAAGGAAAAAAGGAAAAAGAAAGGGAAAGGAAAAATGAAAAGTAAGAGTCTTTTATGATGAACCATTGGAGTGGATTTACTAAAGGCAACTAGACTGTGCACTTTGCATGTGCAGGTGCACTCATTTTCACCCGAGCTTAGTGAATGTGGTGAAGCTTCACTTTGTAAAGGATACCCAATCAGGTGCAAGGAAAATAAAAAAAATCAGCATTTTTGCTTGCACATGGTTGGATGATGGAAATCAACAGAGCTTTACCACATTCCCTAAGCTCTGGGCAAAATGAGTGCAACTGCAATTGCAATGTGCACAGTTTATTTGCCTTCAGTAAATCCACCCCATTGAATATTAAAAAACAATTCACAACCTACTCTTGCCATGGGGAAAACAATACAAATAACTTTCTTAACATTCTTCTTTTTTTTTTGTTTGCTTGTTTTTTTTCTTTTCTTTTTTTCCATTTATTTCTGTCTTACTTCCATTGTCTAATATATGATGACTCGATTTGCAATTTTATGCCTCCATTATCAGATGCTGGTTAGGTAATATGGTAATTAAAGTTTAACAATGATTGCATCAAATCATGTATGTTATTTTTCGTCCTTATTTAACTGAACTGGTATGGTTAGAAAAACTCACATTACAGATGTGGAATACCAAATCTGTTAATTTCTTCCTCCATTTTCAAAATAATGTGTGTTCAATTTTGTCATTGATTTTTTTTATTTCAGAAAGTGGGCTCAAATGTTGGCTTGCTAAACTGAATTTTATAAACTACATTCTGTCCTCTGCTGTACATTATAGATCTTACAAGGCTATTCTGTACACTGTGTTGTTTCTCTTATAATACTTACTGCTTCACTCTGTTGACTGTATGTTGCTTATGCCACACTCTACTCTCTGTACTTAATTTTGCTTTACTGTGTATACTGTGTCCATTATACACTAATAGTGTATAATGGACTCCATTATACACTATTAGTAGTATTGCTTTATGCACATTATGCTGCACATCAGCCTTGTTCTACCAGGGTGCCAAGCAGTGGAGTTGCTTGTGATTGCTCTGATCTGCTCTGAGTTTCACTGGCTGTAGGTTTGACTGCTTCTCCCTGCTTTCTGGAGTGTTCTGGAAAGTAGTGTGCTGGGATAGTTAACCTCCCAAGCGGTCTGATTATATATATATTTCTGTGCTGAAAGCGGTACATTTTTTTGCATGGAAATATGTTGTTTTTTTTATTGTAGGCCTGTAATTTTTAGGAATAACACACTGAAATCTGTCTGAACAAGAGTCTAGTAAACATCCCGGGTATGATAAAACTTGGTACACAAAATCATAAATTATAATATAATAAATAATCATAAAAAAGAATAATATAATAATAATAATAATAATAATAATAATAAATTTAATTCAATAATATAATCAAACCAAAATCACTGAAATTCGAAATATAGCGCCAAGTTCGCACATCGCTGAGCTCAGTCGCAGAATCGTTTTCAGTGTCTAATGATGAATTTCACCACAAATCATTATCACTCAATTCTGCAAGTAGTTCTGATTTACTATCGCTGTTCTCTAGCTGGTCTAAAACCGCTTTTGACCTAAAGGGACACTTTTTGGACCCCATGGACTTTTCTAAGTTTCCAGGCAGAAAGAACAGTAAAAATGCAGGCAGGGCACAGGACAAAGCACTCGGGACAAAATGTATGTGAAATGCTTTGAAACAGTAATGTTTTACTATGTTATTTTAGTGTATTAGTGAATGTCAGTTTTTAAAATTTTCAAACTTCCCGCCGTTTCCGGCCCCCATACGTCCTGTACGTCTGGACGCTTGCAGGGACGGGAACACGGAACACGGATGCCGGCATCGGCCGGAGGAGATGGCCGGGGACGCTGCAGGGGACACATTGCGGGAGTGCAGGACAAGGTAAGTGCTGCAGGGAATTCTACATTTGCTCCCAGAGGGATCAGAATTCTTAAAGTGCACCAAACTGGGCCCCATCAAGCGCACAGAGGATCTTATACTGCAGTGACCTATTTAATTCTAGAGTGTTTTTCTTAGCCTCAGAATTGAACCCTGTCACCTGCTTCTAAGAGCCCAAAGTGAGCTCGCTGCTCTGCTTGGTAGTTTTTTTCTGCTCTCTTGGGAAAGACATCTCAGGGCAGGGGTTACCAGCTAAATTCTGAATTGCAGGACCATAACTGATTGAGATTTTGCTGTGCTTGACTGCTGCTTGAAATTACTCCAAGTGATAGCTATTATTTCATGCACAAACATTTCTGTTATTTTGCTGTGATTACAACCAAGATATCAGTTCACCCTAACCTGTCTATGAGTCTAATTTGTGATTGCAGCCAGAGGGTTCCTCTGACTAGAGGTTTATGGTGGTGTCAGCAGGGGTTGGGCTTTCAGAGTGGGGTTAGGCAAGACAGGGAACCCCTTAGGGGGTAGTGCTACACTTTTAAAGGTAGAAGAAAGATTTGGGGTCTTATAGACCCCAGACCTCTTTATAAAGAGGACCTCTCATCCCTTATTTCTTTTACAAGGGATGTTTACACCACACATGTGAAGTATTGCCGTTAATGTTAGAGCAAGAGCAATAATTCTAGCACTAGACCTCCCCTGACACTCTAAAGAGGTAACCTGTAAAAAATTTTAAAGCATCTCCTTTGGATATTTTTAAATATCATAGTTTGTCCGCATTCCACGAGCGTGCACAATTTTAAAGCATGACATGCTAGGTATCTACTCGTCATAACATCATCTTTCATATGTGAGAAAGGATGGAAGCAGCTCTACCGATTCCCCAGGAGTCAACCAGGGAGCAATGTGGGTTCTAGCTGGCCTCAGACATCACTCCGGCCATGCCCTTTGATGCATTTCGTCCTGCCCATCGGGGGCTTGGTAACAGAGGCTGGGCCCAGCTAGAACCGACATCACTTCCTGGCTGACTCCTGGGGGTCGGTAGAGCGGCGTCCACGCTTCTTCACATTCAGAATGTTTCTGGTATGACTCAGGAAGCTGCTCCTCTCTTTTTCCTTGCCTGCGGGATGATTGTACCTCCTGTCCAGCTTCGAGCGCCGTCACAAGCTTGCTATCAGATCATCTTTCATATTTTACCAAAAATAAATTATGTTATTTATTGTTGTTTTTTGCAGCAAAATTCATGAAGGTGTATTTTTTCTCAAAAATTGTGTTTGAAAAACTGATAAGTATGGTATAAAGTGAGCGCTCCTGTCCAAGCAGCTAGCACTAAAGGTAATCACAGTGTACCCATGAAAAGCAGGATAATAATAACAGAGTGCAGCGCTGAGAAATAAGTGCAAAAAGCAAATAGTCCGTGGTTATTAACTGAACATAAATATATAGTCCCAAGAAAATAGCTAATGAAGACCAGGAAGCAATGGAAAGAGTGCGCACTCACCGGACGCGCATGGAAAATGCGCATAAATGAATATCTCCTGGAATCCTAGAGTAGATGGAGAGAGTGAACTCCAATCTGTGGAACAATCAGCCTGGGAAGATATATCAGAGATCCGGAGGTCCCCTTAAAGGTGGTATGATTATCAGCCAGACTCCAAAAGCTCCGTCCCTCTGGTGGTGATAGGTGAGCACTACAGGGATCCTGTTCAGGGCTGCAGTCGTTCCTCCATCAGACCTTTATTGCACCAGCCCCATACCTTTGTGTTTGAAAAACTGCTGCACAAGTACTGTGTGACATAAAAAATTGCAGCAATCGCCATTTTATTCTCTAGGGCCTCTGCAAAAAAACATATTTAATGATTGGGGGTTCTAAATTATTTTCTAGCAAAAAAAAGTGATATTTACTTGGAAACAAAAAGTGCCATAAAATGGCTAATAAAGCATCAGAAAAAGAATACCCCTAGATTAATCATTGAGCCAGAAGAGTGATTAAGACTGTATGCTTGGCTGCTAACAGACCAGCTTGGGAAAGAACCTTGGGGCCAGGGGCGGACTGACCATTTGGAAACTCGGGCACTGCCCGAGGGCCTGGGGTCAGTAGGGGGCCCCATGAGATGCCCCTGGTACCTTTTTCATTGGCTTTTTTGAGTTTGGGCAAGGACTCAGGGGTCCCATGATCCCCTATTGCCCGAGGGCCCCATGAGTTGTCAGTCTGCCCCTGCTTGTGATTACTCAGTAGGCGCTTTCTGGGGTGGAGCGCTACATACATAATTGTGCATTCCTTACTGCACAGTGCTCCACTCTGAATACTGTGATATACATTCTATACTCCACACTGGTCCGTATTGGTTGTATGTTACTCCACACTTCACCTGACACTCTTTGTTGTGCCCCTTTAAAAATCCCCAGGCAGCAGACTGCATTCCTTTTCACAGACTTTTCTCTGTCCAAACAGGCACTCTTTAGCTAGTACGTGGAATAAAAAATTACTAGTTTAAATAAAAAATCCATTAGATGCATAAAAATCTTATCATCATGTTCTAACTTCTGTTCTTTGCACCATCTAGTGGTCAGCAGGAAAATTGAAGCCGTATTAAACCCAAAAACAAACATAAGTATTTTATTGCCTCTTGCCAATTCTTGGATGTGATGGCTGCATTAGTTTTCTTTTTTAGGCTTTCTTTCTTGTATTTTCATCTGGTGATCCAGTAGCCAGATCCAGAAGCCAGTAAGCTTATTGTTTTTCAGAAGAACAAGCTCTATTGCAGTTACAGGGATGGAACAAACCATTTACCACTGGCAGGGGACAATATTGCCAACCTCCTGCATCATTTTTTTTTTTTACAAACAAAACATTTAAAATTCACTGCTGGATCACATTTTTTTATTGACAACCTGAAAAATGACATTGAAAGCTAAGGCAAGCAATATTTAACCACTTGTTGCCTGCACTATAGCCGAATGATGGCTACAGCGCAGTGGTCCAGTTTTGGGAAGGCATCATATGATGTACTTCCAGAACTATGCCTCCGCATGCCCCCACACCTGATCAAATGACACAGTAATGGGGCAATCACAGTGGCCTTTTACCATGTGTCCCATCTCAGCTGATCACGTTGTAAACACACTTTCCGGTTAGTAGCAGTACTTTCCTCACACTGTCACACTGTCACTGTCACAGATAACCGGCAAGTGTGAATAGGACATCTTCACTGATAACTAGGGCACTGATTATCAGTGCAGCCACAAAAGTGTCCATCAATGCTACCAATCTGTGCCCATCAGTTCTGCCAATCTATGCCCATCAGTTCTGCCAATCTATGCCCATCAGTTGTGCCAATCTGTGCCCATCAGTGCCACCAATCAGTGATACTTATCAGTGCCGCCAATCAGTGACACTTATCAGTGCAGCCAGTCAGTGCTGCCTATCAGTGCTGCCAGTTAGTGCCGCCTATCAGAACCCTTCACTGATGCCTATTAGTGCCCATCAGTGCTGCCTATCAGTGCCTATCAATGTAGCCTCATCAGTGTCCCCTCATCAATGTCCACCAGTGCCACCACATCAGTGCAGCCTATCAGTGCCCATCAGTGCTGCCTATCACTGTTGCCTCATCAGTGCAGCCTATCAGTGCCCATTAGTGCTGCCTCATCAATGCATATCAGTGAAGGAGAAAAATTACCAGTTTGCAAAATTTTTATCATTGAAACTTTTTTTTTTCAAAATTTTCTGTTTTTAATTTGTTTAGCAAAAGATAAAAAAAACACTCAGTGGTGACTAAATACCACCAACAGAAATCTCTATTTGTGTGAAAAAAATTATAACATTTACATATGGGTACAATGTTGCATGACTGCGCAACTGTAATTCAAAGCGTGAAAGCACTGAAAGCTGGCCGGGGCAGGAAAGTGCACAGTAGGCAAGTGGTTAAACAGTGTAAACACAATCTGGAAACACTGACAAGACCCATAAAAAAATTATTTGACTGGTTTACACTTACTAATGTCAACAAAGCATGACAAATTACCAGCCCCTGATATTTACAGGCAGTTGTAAACATCAATGATTTTTACAAACTGTCCGTAAATTTACTGACGTTTGGCAACCCTGGCAGGGGAGCTTACAATGATCAGCTTTAAGTGGTTCTAAAGCCTAAAGGTTTTTTTTACCTTAGATCACATTTGATACGTGTTCTGAAATCACTCTGTATTGCAAGCACACATTTCTTCCTTGAGAATCACATGCAGTTTGTTCGAACACATGTGCGTTTTTCTATGCGATTTTGCAAGTGCTCAGTTTTTGGATCTGCATTGTCCATAGGTACAGGCCTCTCACTGTCTCTCTCTGTCTCTTTCTCCCTCTCCTTCCTAGGTGAGGAGCCCTCTGAACAACTACTAGGCTAAAAATCCTCTGCTGCTATGGTAAAATTGCATCAGAAACGCATTCGTATGTGAACACCAATATCAGAATATCTCTATACTCTAAAGCACAGGTGTCAAACTGGTGGCCCTCCAGCCAGTGGTGTATTTAGGATTCGTGCTGCCCTAGGCAACACAAAAATTGCCTCCCCCCATTGACTCACTTTCACAGCTCCGGACATCCCTGGCAACAAGAGTCAGGCTCTGCGTACGCCATCAAGCAGCCCGCAGCCTCTCTCAGATCCCACCTGGTCTATGTGCTGCGTGTGTCCCTTCTTCCTTTCCTTCTTTTGGGGGACAGCGCTGCCCCCATGAAGAATGCTGCTGCCCCCCTGAAAAATGCCGCCCTAGGCAAATGCCTTGTTTGCCTTGTGGTAAATACACCCCTGCCTCCAGCTCTTGCCAAGCTACAAGCCCCAGGAGGCATTGCAAGATTGACAGTTACAAGCATGACTCCCAAAGGCAGAGGCATGATGGGACTTGTAGTTTCGCAACAGCTGGAGGGCCACCAGTTTGACACCCCTGCTCTATAGCATGCGAGTTTGGAATACATTGCTCTAAACTTGCA